GTTAAATGGCTAATGATAGCTATCAAAACGCCTGCCATTTTTAATAAATAAATATTCCTGTTTGATCAGTTGAAAATTAATTAACCTTTCAAACAGGTGGATCATATATGATTCTAAACCTCTTTCCTGCATCAAAAACCGCTCTCTACTACATTAGTTGGCATTAGGTTTCTGGGTAAAATGAGCGAGCAAGTTAGAATTCGCATCTATGGTTATCAAGTAATGAAATCTCATGTTCCTACTAGAAACAGCATTTTCAAGGTTTGTCAAAACCAAGGGAATTACTGAATATTGCGGCCGAAACTAAATTTTACCCTTTGAGAATGGTTCTAGAGCAGACAGTATTTGTAATCAGATCAGAAGAGTTGACCGCTAAATCTCGAGATAATACGTTCTGAGTCCAAAGACGAATGAACTACCAGCAGAATTAGATAAACCTAACGATATCGGAATAATAGATGATTCCGAAGCGAAGGTGCATTGTAGTATGCACGAGTTGAACTATCTTCATTTCCATTAACATGTATTCGAGGAACCTTCAAAACAGGGGATTCACAGATGGTACGGACAAAACGACTTAAAGTAAAACTCGCTAAAACCTGCAGTTATAACAAAAACATTCCAACACAAATCTGTCGTACATCGATTCAAGAACGAGCACAAACAAGAAATAGGAAAAAGAGATAAGCTAAGCAACGCGCAGACGATCGAAACTTACTAAACCAAAAGGTGGCATCACTTGACCAATAAAAATAAAGGCGAAATTTCGAAAGAACATCGTTTTAAGAGAATAATTGATTAAAAGATTGTATTTTTCTACAAAGTTTCTTCAAAAATTGTCACTACTTAGTTGCCTGAAACAGGACTTAAGATGGGCAAATTGGCTTGGAATCCGGCAACACCAGCAGTGCCACCGACGCCACCGGGACCCAGCATCATCGATCGATGTTCAGTAGCCTCCTGTTCCTCCATCTGGGCTCTCTCATATTCCAACATGACGGGAAGGAGGCAGATAGTTGCCGTTGAAGCGAGGAACCAGGCTGCACACCGGGAAAATAAGTAGGTTTTTTTGACAGCATTAACAGATTTGGTAAACGTCTTGGAGACACCACCTCTGAACCAATCCGGAAACATTTCAGTAAGACCAATAAGCCTCTCAACGATGGTCTCGTCTGCAAAATCGGGATCATTCTCATCATCGTCATCTTCCTCTGTGTTATTTGTCACCTCGTCAATTGTGGGACGACTTTGAATCTGAGTGTCCGATGATTCATCTCCTCCAAGTTGGGGTGCTATATAAGGGCCAGAACTGGACAGAGCAACTTCGTCGGGAGAAACATCAATCTAGGAAAAGACATTGATTTTGTCTAAAACCATAGCTACAAAAGCTATTACACATTCCGAATTGAAGCCAAAGTATTGATGCAGCAGGAATAACTCAAAGAACGTAGATGAATACAATTTTTAATAACTTTTTGGATTTTTAAGTGCAAAATTTATATAACCTATTGAAATTTAGGAAGTTATAAACTACTAACAAAGAACAGTCTTGATGAAACTTAAAGCTATAATTAATTACTTTTAAAAATTCGTAAGATAAGCAGAAGAACTTACTCGAACATAATCATCGTTTTGTCTATCAGCGCACATGCTGAAAAGGGAATATGGTCGTGTAGGTTAATTGAGCAAAGCCAAGTAGGAAGGAAAAGAATTATGAACAGTTAAAATTCAATTCTTGTGATCTATTTAGACATCAAAAGTAGATAATGTTAGAGATTGTAATTTAAATTGACAAAAATTCTCATTTATTTTAACTATAAAGCCATATCATCCCATTATGTAGAGTCCATGTATGCCAGACGAAAATAAGGCGTGATCGCTTATATGGAAAGATATATTTTTCCTTACAGCAAGTACCACTTAAACATGGGATTGTTGTCAGCTGTTCTTGCTTTTCTTGTATCGGTCGGGTCTATTTACAAAGTTTAAAATTTGCCGAATGGTGGTTAAGGTAAAGCATGTTTCGCAAGCGCTAATGTGTATTGTTGCTGTATGTTGAATAAGTAATACTTGCATGAATGATCTCGGCTACCTCAGGAGAAGCCATTTCCTACATTTTCACAATATTGAAGTGGCCAAATTTAACTTAAAAATTATTTTAAATAAAACCATAGGTGTGGCTAAATTAAATATTTATTTAAGTAGGAATAAATGCATATGCTATTTTTGCTTTATTTTATTAATTTATGTTATTCAATTACTTTAAAATTGATTAAATTCTACGTTTAAAGCTATAAATGCTTCATTGTTTTCACCAGTACTCAAGATTGTTTTAAATATTTTTCGCTTCACAATTTTATTGAGTTATCCTGATTTTTGGAAAATGGGTATTTTAACGAAGTTTGTTAAAAAATCAGATGTCCTAGACTATGTCATACGACAATATCACGTGAAGCCACGGTAATATAATTGGTTGAGGTTTATCTGGGCGCTCCATAAATGAAACGGCTTTTGGCACAAAATCTCTCAGCATAAAAACTTTTTTCTATTATGCAAGCTCACAGAGGTGATCGTATTTGGGTTGATGGATGGTATTTAATTAAATTATATGTTTTGCTTAAATTTTAAGTTTTGATATGGTTCACTTTGGACATGCCAATGTTGTTCGACAGGCCAAATGTTTAGGCAACTACCTTATCGCTGGATTGCATAGCGATGGTATAATTTTGCTTTTCGCTAACAAAATTTTAGCTGAGATAGAAAGGCACAAGGGACCTCCTGTTTTTACTCAAGAAGAGCGCTGTATACTTCTAAAAGCAATTAAATGGGTTGATGAGGTAGGATATTTTCCCGTTGTCACACTTTAGGTGGTTAAAGACGCTCCCTATATGACTCAACTGGAGGTCTTAGACGAATATAAATGCGATTTTTGTGTCCATGGAAGTGAGCGGTCTCTTTTCTCTACTTTCTATTTTCCTTTATGCTTCTCTTTAGTTTATTATCTGTATTTTAGGTGATATATCTGTGACTGAGAGTGGTCAAGATGCCTACGAAATTGTCAAAAAGGCTGGAAGATATGTGTAAGCCCATTTATTTAAACCCTAATTATGAACATCCTGTAATTTTTTTCCTTTTTTAATTTTTTTTCAGTGAAGTTCCAAGAACTGAAGGAATATCTTCAACAGATCTTCTTTATCGGTAAATCCTTTTTGACATGATTATTTTCGAGTGGAAACTCGGCGATTTATTTTTTTACCAATGAATAATTGATTTCGTTATAGAATTATTCGAGCCTCCAAGGAATCTAAATCAATGAATCTTGAATTAGATAATGGTTTTAACGTGAGTATACTTTCAATGCAAATAATGACATACGCATCTCTTTTCTTTTTAATTATCAATAACTGACCTCGTTTCTCACACTAACTTGCATATGCTTTAGTCAGTATCATGTTCCCCGATCTCATCCTACACTTCTGGCATCACTAAATACACCCCTAATATCCTCCGAATTGCCCAATTTTCATCTTCGACCAACGGTCACACAGTTGACACCCTATCCTCCGGCAGTATTGACGGTATTCGTGCTCCTAACCCTGGGGAACGCATTGTATACGTTCCTGGAGCCTTTGATCTCATGCGTAAGTTATTTTATCAAAAACTCGATATATATCTTTGGCAGTTACCGATATTTTGTAATTCTATTTTCAGATGTGGGTCATATAAAATTCCTGGAGAAATGTCGTGAATTGGGGACGTATATCATAGTTGGTCTTCATTCTGATAAAGTAAGTTGACTTCTCATCTCATTCTTCGCGAGTTACTGTTACTTAGCGTTTCGTGGATAGCGTCATTGTCTCTTAAAAAATTTCTCTCTTACTAAAGGTAGCACATAGTTGGTCAAATTTCATCATTCCAAATCAAAGGTTTTAAAGTTAAAAGCTAAAGATCTTTTGTCAAGATATATTTTCTGATGAATGCCTAATCCATAATTCAGGGTTATTGTATTTGGATGAGTGACCTTTATCCGAGTTAATTGTAGTCATCCCTAATTGTTTCCTATGGCGCCTGATATCCTTATTTTGCTCTTGTTTGTCAAATAATTTTGTTTTTTGGCGTCTACATTGACTCAGAAAGTGAACCACCCCCCCCCCTCCCTCTCCCAATGTAAACAATGAGGTTGCTGCTTTGGGCGCTTTGCTGAATAATTTGCTAATCTGTTTGCATATGCATATCTCGTGCTGGCTCCTGTGCTTATATTTAAAATACTCATACTACTAAGTCTCGTCGTGTCTAGTCTTACAAATTGAGAATTTTCAATGTGCAAGAAAAGTCGTCCTATTTTTGCCCTTATGTCATTATAAGTTGCTATGGCTCTTCCTCTACCATCCACTTATTTGATACAAGTGACTTTTTTCAATGATTCCCTTTTTCTCCTCATTAGTATTGAGCTACTAATCGCAATGCCTAGAGCACTGACGCGTTCACTCACACTGTGACACTAATTTGTCAGCCCTATTGCACGTAATGGTCAAAAGACTGAGAAGTTCACTGTGCATGCCTATTCAAGCAGGGTACACAAGGGCATGGATTTTGGGGAGTGCTCCCCTACAACACATGAGGCAGTTTGTTGGGCACCTGTTGTGTCCTTAATTTGTGACTTGATGCCAATCCTTTTTATCAAATCGGAGGCGGTCGAAAGTATGATGAATGACATATCACGAACTTTCGAACCGAATTAATTTTACTATTGCCATTAAGCATGGTAAGACAGAATGCTTTTAAAAGCTTTGGTTGTAGGGGGGGGGGAGGTACTTAAACACTGGAAATGTCAAAAAGCGGAGTAAGGTGTCGAATAATACTAATAATGAAGTTGGAAGATTAGGGAATGTTATCTCACTTTTGGATACGTTGAGTTATAAAATTCACTTAGTAATACTCAGTGTTATAGTCCATTTTGTAGTGAACAAATGCTCGCGATATTCAGTTCGGCTGTCTTACAGCCATGGATGGGTAGATGAGATCTCTTAATGTAATATGAAGAGTGGGGCTCTGAATTGTCTGCTATTCACCATTATTGCTAATTTTCCTCTTTTTTTAGACTGCTGCCCTTGAAAGTGAAAGAATCGGGCCAATACTCAAAATGGAAGAACGATATCTCTCCCTTCTCGCCATTCGGGTCAGTTTCCTAGCCTCTTGATGTTTGTTTGAACTGCCTGATATTCCCGGTGTATGCTTTACTTTACACTGAAGACAATACGATAGCGATCTGATCTTTCTTCCATAGGTGTTTTTCGCACTGTCCTAATAACAAAAATTGATAGACTTTGTAGTCATATTAAAAAAAGTGAAAATTGTTTATCTTATTTAAAGTAACTTAACAAATTGAAAAATATAGGTTAAATGTGAAATTTGTTGTAGTTACAGGGATTTCAAATTGATTTCACTTTCCACACGAAAGTAGTGATGTGGAAGATGGGGAGGGGTGGTTAATGTAAACTCTGCTTTGGCGTTTTTGCCAATTAACAAGAATTGACCACTCTTCAATTTATCACTTTTAATTAGCACATTTGATATGATACTAGTACTTCATTCAATGTTCTATGTACGTGCCTCTGCTGTGATTAACTTTCGTATCCCATTTTTCTCCTCTAAGGATACACACGTGGTATTGTTTTGTTTTTATTTATTTATTTCAAATGGCAGGCGTTTTGATAGTTATCATTAGTCATTTAGCTGACTTCGGGCTTCATAGAGGGAAGGTTCATCAAAGTAGAAGAAAGTCGAGGGGTGGGGAACAGAAGAGCGATTCACAGATGTAAAAGAGGCAGACGGAACAAAGGTAGAGAAAAAGGTAAGATGAGTACTGTGGAAGGGGTCGAATATGACAACCAGGGGGGGGGGGTCGTGGTAGTTTGAAGTCAGAAGTCAACTGCCGAATAGTAGACTTTTTTTGCCGTATGAGAATACGTTTGTCAAGGATGCACCACGTGGAGGTAAGTCTATCGCACACCCCGGTATTGTATTGTT